TTTTTTTATTTTCTAAATAATAAATAGGATTTTATGTAATGTAAATTAATATATATATATATATATATATATATATATATATATATCATGTGCAAATTTATAAAATTTAAGGACTAAAATAATTATTCTCTTATTAATATTATATTTTTATTTTTTTTGAGATTTAAATAATATTTTGATATAAATGTGAATTTGATATATTATTTATTTCTATTATCTTATAAAATACTGATTTTAAATATTACTTTTTTAATTTTTAGTTGGAGYTAACTATAATATGTATTATTTATTTGAATTGCATTTAAGCAAGAAAGAAATAAAAGCTATATTCATTTACTCATAAGCATAAAAGATGGAGTGGCGTGGTGGCTTATAAGCATGGATGTTTCTCTCTTAGCTCTTGACATAGGTTTGAATCCTTGCAACTTTCTTTTTTAGTAGAAGAGTATACGCATGAGCATTCGTGCCTCGTGGGTAGCATATTGTTTTATATTGATCCGTATCGATATGTATCGGCCGATATAATGTGATACGGATTGATATACATCCATATCGGCTCGATACACATGACTTGCAAGATACACCTCTAGTCATAGTGTGTCCCGTGCCGAACACTAACGGTATCGATACGATACACTCCATGTCGAATGTATTGTATCGATATTTCAATCTTTGGTTGAAAGATGGGCATCCCAAAGATGAAAGAATAGAAGCTCCAAATGAAATTTGCCAAGTGGCAGGAGAAAAACAAGTGGGGAACAGTTTATTAGCACATGTAGCAGTAGCTAGCTAAGCAAAAACCCCCTACTTTTTAGATGGTCTGTTGTGAGGACATTGTCCATTGCAATCAGCATGGCAAAAGCTTCAATTCTTGGGRGAACTGGATTTCCCCATATTCTATTTATTTGACCATTAGGCTTAGTTTGGAAAGAGTACAAATACAAATATATACAGCACAAATACATATAAAATACAAGGTTTTGTACTTTACAAATTTGTATTTGTACTCTTTCCAAACTGAGCCTTAATTACACTGTCCACTGTCCTTCATCAGATCCATCAGAAGTTCAGTTTCCAAGTCATTAAGTTGTCTCCTAAACTGAGGATTCCACACCCTTTCTCAATTATTTTTATGCTAGGTAATCAGCTACCCGTGCCTCCCTGTCTGTTGCCACTTGCCAGCTCATATAAAGATGAATATATTTCTTGCGGAGGCCTGTTCCCACACCAACACTTCTTCTAAAACTGTACTCTTTAAGTGGTACTCTAAAACTTACACCTTATCCCAACTCACTAAGTGGTACTTCTTTTCTTCTCTCCATCCCATCCACAAAAAATACCTCGTCTTCCTCTCCGGAATTGCACATTGATAGCAGATGGCATCGGAATTGAAGCAAGAACACTCCTTAATAATGTTAGTTTTCCTCTTTTGGTAGGTACTTGCCTTTCCAAGAGGCCAGAGTTTTTTCTACTCTCTCCACAATGAGTTCCCATATAGCTTTAAAATTACACTTTAACCCCAAAAGACAACCAAGTATTTACATGGTAACTTACGCACTCTACATCCCCACCCATCTGCCCATTGCTCTCTAGATCTTGGACCTCCCCCACTGCCAAGTCACACCATTAACTAAAACTGAGAACACCA